CTCCTCCAAAGACCATAAAAGGATCAGAAACACAGGTAACTCTGGAATATAAATTCCTAACATCAGTAAATTCATCATCCTCTAAACAGGCTCATTATGCAGAGTGGTATTTTAGGGATGGTTGTATCAGAGACGGAGATTCCAGGCCAAATGCAGAGCTAGAGCCAAAGTTGGGACGAGAAGTGCAGCTCAGGCTCCCCCAGTCCCGAGCCTCACACGCACAGTGCCATTGCTGACATTTGCTTTCCCTGCTGGCCAAGGGTGACACATTTTCTGCTTGTGTGTAGTAAACATACAGTAAAATGGCTGTACAAACATGCTCTGATCCAACTCTTACTGCAGGAAAAATGTGTGTCTTTCCATTTGCTTCCAAGGACAATACAATAACAGTGGACCCACTAAGCCTAAAATCAATCTGGAAAATATTTAAATCAAAGGGTTTAAAAAATTAGTTTTGTTGAGTTGTGGCAAAAATTGCCTTTTTGGCAAAAAAATAAAATCAAGGGCAGAAGAGGAGATATAAACCCACAGTTTTAAACCTAAAATTTAGCCATGAAGAAGCCCTCTGTCACAAACAAATACAGACAAGAAATTGGACCCTAAAGGCTTTGTGTAGGAAGAAAAATTTATTAGCCTTTAGTAACGTTTTGCTTTTCCTATAAGGAAATGCTAAAAGAAAAAAAAAAAGTCTATTGTATATTGGCAAGAACTTAATGTTGACCCTGATGAATTCTTAGCATCAGTATGCACAGAAACCTGACCAAAAGATTTGTCCAAAGTCTGGTTTAAGCATTTCTCATTAACTACTCTACATGAGATATGGAGATGATGACAGAAGTGAAATCTAGTAGCAGCTAAAATGCCACTGCAGTAATTCTAAGATAGCTCTTTATCTACAGGCAGCTGCCAGCAGTCGCTATTAATTTATCTAAGAGGCTCTATATTGTAGCAAATAGTAACAGTAAATGAGATAACAAAGGAAGAGGAAACTTTGAGATAATAGCTGCAAATAATCCATCTGTCATACAGTAGCCACTAAACAAACAGTTTTATTAAAATACAAATACGCTATCATTATGAGTAACTTTGGTTTTTTGTTACAACTTTTCATTTTTCTAGTGTGCATGTTTTTTAGAGGTATCACACAAAGAAAACCCAAAATTCTAGAGATTTTTAAATAGAAACAGAGCTGTGGAATCAGGTTTGAAATTCTCAATTAACTCTTGTGTTTATCTGTGTTTTGCACTGTGAACATGTTTCTGAAAGAAGGCTGATATTTTTAACACTATAGTTTTCTTAAAGGAAGGCAACAACTCAGCTAAGTTGTTAAAGAATTTACCTATTTTCAGTGCATAGCTTATTGTTGATACACACACAGTACATAGCACCAGGGGAGTTAGAACATCTTTAATTCCAGTCTAGCAGCAACAGAAAGTGATTCTTATTCTTGAGGCATAATATGTCTTAAACACAAGGAGGATTTTTTCAAATACTCTTTTGTTGTTGTTGTTATTGTCTAACTATAGGCAACACTTCAGGTCTGGAAACCTTTTGTATCAGTTATGTATCCCCAGACTTGGAACATTTTGATTTTGAAATGTGCACTTTATTGGCATCATCAAAATTTTAGTGATGGGAGTAATGCTGAGAGCAGATTTTATTTCTATGTATTTCAAAACCAGCCCTCTGATTACTTAGACCTTATTTGGAGATATTTCCTAGGATACTAGAATGGCAATGATTAAATTCCTCTCAGGTGGGAACTGTCTTTTGTTCTACTTTTGTATAGTCCCGTCCTGAGATTTACAAGAGCTCCCAAAAGACCACCAATAACAAAAAATAATAATGCTCCTGCACGGAGTTTTATAGAAAATCAACAGCACACTGCCTGGTCCCCCCCATGGACACATTTTTTTTTCAGTGTTCTCATGACTCACCATGCTATTGAAATACTGCTACACTTAGTCTTTTAGCTCAAGTTTCACAAACTGAAACAGTCATAAAAAAGGATCTGGCTGCAGCCATGGATTCCAAGCCAAAAACCAGACTGACCAGCAGCAATGAAACAGTTAACAGTGCTGCCATGTAAGTGGAAATAACAGGCTTCAACACTAATCCCCCACTGAGCAGACTGAGAAAAGCTCCTACTTTCCTTGGTTCTCTTGTTCCAGTCTGCCTGGCTGCTAATGCAAAACATAGACATATATCAGTTTACATTGTGAAGGTCATATCCACACAGCCGGGACATTTCCTTCTTAAACAGAAGCACAGACTCAAGAAAACTGTACAAATGCAAGGAGAAATGTAAGCCATTTATATGTCTGCATCTCCCACTCTTACAGATTTATTTTGTCATAAATATTGAAGATTCTAAAACTTTCTTACTATTATTTAATAAGTGCTGAAATAGGTGCTATTTAATAGGTTCTGCAGAAGAAACAAAAACTCCATGTAAGGACATAGTTGTGACTTACTAAGACTACTATCTGTGCCCCAAATATTGTCTTTACTGTTCCAGGTGTCACAATTAGGGATTCATTTCCAGCATTATTATGTTTTTAAGATATTTAGGGTGCATTTACATTAGTTCTCTGTTGCACATCAGAGCATAGTTTTGGAATGAATCTTCCAGTGGTCCCCAGCTGAGTTCACATGTGTGGTGATCTCAAAGCACAACAACTACAATGAAAGAGCATTTAGTCTGACAGCCTGGAACTGTGCTCAATTAGGATGCCCTGAAACGTGCTGTATGCCTCCCACCATCAGCTCTCTGCTGGTACAAATCCTATTATTATTTGCTATTGTTTGCTATTTGCTATTATTTGTTATTGCTATTTGTTCCCTTTGCCTCATCAGGAGCAGATAGAGTCCTGCTTCCAGTCATCTGCCTAGACACAGTGTGGTCCACATCAAACCAACACCAGTAACTCTGCATCAAGTGGTCTTCCCAGGATCTCTCATTTTCTTTAATGGAGCCAAAACACCAAAAATTCCACCTATGTTAGCAGTGAGGAGAAGAGGGGAGAAAAGGGAAAGGGAAGAGAAAGAAGAAGGAGGTAATGCTGTCTCCCTCCAAAAAACGCTTATTTCCTCAGTTATTCAGATCAGGAATCAGACATGGTAGACACAAAACATTAGCTGCAAAGACATTCAGGGTCAGCGCTTGGGTTTTGGAGCACTGGGCACACTCTTCATTTTTCATTTGGCAGAAGCGTTCTTGGAAGACGCCGTGCACTGTTTCCATTAACACGAGGCGTTTTGCCAGCAGGGGCAAGGATGCACTTCACAAACTGTACTTCCAATATTTATGGGGGGTTCTTGAGCAACATCCTGTTTAACACGGTAAATTAAGGAGGAGTAGTAGAGTGCAGCTTTCTTTCCCAGTGAATTCCCTCTGTGTCCAGGTTATCTACCAAAAAAATGTAGTAATGCATCTTCATAGCCCTTGATAATACGTCTGAGCTATGAAACCTGGTCAGATCAGTTTGTTCACATTGTAAATGAACTAGTCACAGCTCTATGGACTTTGATTCTTTGCCTATTTTATGAGGCTACTCACGGGAATTGGTACTGCAGCCTGGCTTCCCAGGCTCTGCCCTCCTTTCCCTCATGTCTTAAATAACCCATCCTCACGTTCCCCTTGTCGAAGTCTCTCCAGCACCGCAAATTCCTTCTCCGACATCTCACTGCCATCGTACCACCAGGGTTTCTCTACATTCCCAGACCTCCCATCTCGTTCCTTCTCACACTCCATACACTACCACTTCTGGCACTGCTGATCCCTTCTGTCCCCCCAACATTCTCAGCATGTCATTCCACATGATACCGACCCTTCCCATCTTCTTCACTAAAGTAATTAAATATAAACTTAACTAGCATCTTAACTCCCTACAACATCCCTTATGATTGCCCCAAAGTATCCAAGTTCCCTCCCACATTCTGCAAGGCCAAGTCAACACACACACACACTCATTCCACATGATACCGACCCTTCCCATCTTCTTCACTAAAGTAATTAAATATAAACTTAACTAGCATCTTAACTCCCTACAACATCCCTTATGATTGCCCCAAAGTATCCAAGTTCCCTCCCACATCCCGCAAGGCCAAGTCAACACACACACACTGTATCTGTTTTTCTTTGGCTTGCTATCCGGGCAAGATGCAATATTGCTATTGGAACTGTAATACTTGCTTAGTGCAAGACATACTTCACCAGATAAGGGGAGCATTTTACCAGCATCTCTGTTTGTGGGGGCAGCAATCTGAGGCTCTTCTTTACCCAAGCACTGATCGTCAAGAAACTTCCAGAACTTTGCATCTTTGAGACCTCTAACCCCCACAGGAATGTGGCTGAAACTGATTCAACACGTTCAGAACTTAAGAGTGTAAAGAAAGAACACAGCCTTCAGTGTAAGGCTATAGGACTAAACTCTTTCAGAGGAACCATGCCAGGTTAAAAAGTGCTTATTTTATACCAAAGTTAAACCGCCAGGTAAGAGTCCACTGAAACCATTTCTCATTCTCTTTTGTGGGGTTGACTTTAAATGGATGGAGAAGCTAAAAATATGCTGATGTATTTGAATGCTTCCAATATACAAAAAAAACCCCTCTGTGACACTAGTCTGCCTCACTCTATAATTATTATTGTTCATATCAAATATCATTTGGCTATACAGAAAAAGGCATTCTGTGTTTTTTTCTTTTTTTTGAATGATTCATACTCTTGACTCATAAAACCTCTCATCTGTCACAGATTACTCAAGGACTTACAAGAGGGGACTCTGAAAATATTACGCTTTTTTATGCAGGAGATAAACATCTTGAATTTTCAGGGAATTCAATAGAGCAACTCAGGAGCAGAATGAACGTTGTAATACATAATCTCACTCAAAACCATTACACTCAGCAGAGATCTATTAGCCCTTATCACTGTAACTCTTAGAACTAAATTTAAGAGTAGCAATAAACCCCCCAGTGAAGGAGGAAGGGGAACTTACCTATGAGATACATGCCAATCCAGTCCCCTGCATCCACTTCTTCTTTTATATCCCAGTATATCACTAGGTCTTGTGAGTGCCCGATGGAATAATAGGAGCTGCTGACCATCAGGGTGGAGCGGCTGTCGGAAGTGACGAGGTCCGTGTCACTGGTGGACCTAGGAATGGTGACTGCCTCATGGGCATTGTTCCTGATGTCCATGTTATGGAACTGGTCAGGGTTATAGCTGTATCTGAGCGGTTCTTTGCACCGCCGCCGACTCTGAGAGTTCCTGGATGGAGACGCCATGGCTGCCAGGCCCAGGAACCTGTTTTGGTACAGATTCTGCAAAGAAAAAAAGTGGACAGTGTTTACAATATGTTTTATATGTCAATGACATTGAAGCTTTGCCTAAGAAAAAAAAGTACGTAAGAATGAGCAAATAACAAAAGATAGATTTTTCTTTTTTCATTGGGGACAGCAAAAAAATCACAAAAAGAGGTAGCAGGAAACAGATACTGCTAACTCAACTTTACTCCTTAAATCCCACTATGAAAACAAGTGTAAAAGCAAAGCTTAGCAGCTTTGGCTGCAATTGGCAGTGTTAAAAAAATCAATAGTATCTGACTTTCTCCCTGTTACACACTATGTTTAGCAACACGCTACAGTACCATTCTCTTTCAATATTAGGAGACATTCTTTCCACTTTTGACACTTTGAGCCAAGTCTTCTTCCTAGTGGTTCTAGTTAGATTTGCAGAAGAATCTTTTTTTAATCCACCCTCCTCACTGAGAACTTATTCTATTTTGCGTGACTGGACACCAGTGACAAGGCTTTTCCTCCCATCTTAAGATCTGAAGAGCTACAACCATGAGAAGCAAGATAACCCTGATGGCAAGAGAGAGATGCCGTCATCGACGTGGCAATGCAAGTGTTGCAGTGTCACTCATTCAGCTCTTGATGTTGTTGCTCTACTCGGCTCTTCTCAGAAGCCTCACAAAACGGGTATGTCCTTTGCAGGACATACTGAACAATTAAGGGCAATCAATGAGGCTACTGCAGAATACATATCATGTTAAGTAGTTCTAATGAAATGATTTGAATTTTACCTTACCCTCATTCCTCAAGGCAAGGCGACTGACTTGCATTAAAAGTTCTATGGTACTTGAGTTAAGGGTCCTATGAGTTGGTGGATAGATAATGCTCAAGTTAGGACTTGAATTAATTCTGATGTGTAGACGTACTCTAATACTGATTGAAATACTGGTTACTGCTTAGATCTGTGCTGCTTGTTTCCATTTCCCTTCATTGCTTTCCTTTTCCCCCTGCAGCTCTATTTCAGTCACTCAGCTTTTCATTATTTATTAGCCTTCCATCCTCCACTTGTTGCCAACCATGCCATCAAGTCAACCACATAAAAAAAGACAGACAGCTTTCCAGTATGCCATGAAATGCTTGTCACATGATGAGAAGTCAAATCATCCTTTTGAACAGAAACAAATTAAGTGGAAGGAAAAATCACAGTTTCTTTGTCCAACCTGGTGTCTGCTAAGGCCATTCTAATACAAAAGGACAATAAGCCATAAAAAATGAAGTATTTTGATTTTTATTAAATAAGACAGATTTATGTGGAATAATCAAGAGACATCATTAGCTATGTCTCAAGATTCCTTTGCACAAGAAGCTGTACAAATAGAGCAGAATATTCAGCTGGAATGCTTGTACAGCTAAAATACGTCACTTTATAGATACTGTCCTACAAGGCCTACAGTCCGGTGACCCAAATCCTCCCTTACTGCATTGTACACAATTTATAGCAAAAATAGCTGCAGTGAGGATGCCACACCTTACAGTAAGTGCTAGTAAGACTGAAATGAGCAATGCAAAAGGCTACACTAAAAAAAAAAAGGAAATAGTAGGAAGAAGGAATTGTGGAGGGGAACGAAGTACAGGGTGTTGCTCACATGGGATAGCATTTGTTATGCATCTAATCATGCCTTTGCTTTTTCTTTATTTTAATATTTATATTTATTCACTTTCCTGTTTGAAGCAGGAAAGAACTCGTTTCATTGTATAAAAAACAGCAATCCCTGTTTGAAGACCTTTATGTAGAAAGCTCTCAATTCCATTTGATTGTGAATCTGTAAGGAGAAAATATTTCATTTTTGAATAAAAAAGACATAATTTCCCACATTCTGCGAACATATCTTAAACTGGGGAGCGCTTGTAAAAGCGCATAATGACTGGGTTTAGTCCGCAATGTCAGTCTCATGGAAGCTGCTGTCTTTTAGCACAGAAGACATGTGCTGTCACATCAACAGTACCTGGGACAATTATTATTGGCTTTATCATGGTGAGATATCACTATAAAGAATTCCAAGCCCACTCTTCTGGGTTAGTCTCTATTATCAACATGCTTTCCTTAGCTCATAGTGCATTACCCAACAGCTACTGCTATTCCAAGGCAGGCATTTTCCTTCTAGTGACAAATGACTCCAGGGAACAGTGGTTCTGCAGATACTTCCATTTTTGAATATTAATGCCTGTAGAGTATTAACTAACTGCACACTCTCAAATTAAATCAGACTTAACAAACATTTAATTTTTTAGCTTCACCATGGTTTTAATCAGTTTCTACCAAAAACGCTAAATCCATCACTCCATTCTAATTCTGTAAGTTCCGTTTTCCTGCGTGCTCCTGTCAGTAGAACAAGCAGCGCTACCTGAGAGCACTAACTTTGTGGTTACAAGGCTACACTCTCCAGAAATTGGAGTCTCGTATATCTCTAGTGTAGAAACACAAATGGTATAATGTATTCACTTACAATTTTTGGTTTAAGTAATGTCATCAGAATGTCACATGCACAGCAGTGTGAATAGCAAAAGGTGAGAAAAAAATGTTACTTCACATGTGATTACCATTTTTGCATCTTTTTTAATACAGTTTTCTACCAGTATCTGTGTCTGCAAAATATGCACACAGCCACTAAATTCTGGTGATAGGATCTTGGCTGTAGTGAGATGTCACAAAAATTACAAATATGTCCTCTCTATCCCTTGCAAAAGCATTCCAATCCTACCATAAACAGCTAGCATAATAAGAATTAACCTTTTTTAGGTTTAGGTGTTTCACCTTTGTGTTTACTCTATTCCTTTGCATAGGAGCACACACCAAGATATGGTCTTGTTCCTAATATACAGTATGCAGCATAATTTATAAGGCAATAATAACGAATAGCCAAATTTTGACCCAAGAACACAGGAGATCAAGCTTTTTTGTCAAGAGAAAGGAATGCTGCTTTCTTCCTTGGTCAAAACAGTCATTCTGTAGCTACATTCATTCTTTCCTAGTTTTTTTTTTTTTTTCATCTATGGATTCTCTCTAGCAAACACCTCTCAGGATTTACTTTCCCACCACTTTTCTCACTACCTGTATGCAGTGAGGAGATCACTGTCTCACGGCATGTGGAAACATGCATTTCTCCTCACAGCTAGGAATCTTCTAGCTTAGAAGAATGTAATATTTTGCTCACAGGTGTTGAAGATGTTGTCTTTGACACTTAGACACATTGTCTTAGACACTTAGGTCCATCCTGCATTTGATGCAACCAAGACATGATTTCAAGCTTGTCCCAAGTTCTGGGTGCCAGTATCACCTTGGCTGAGTTTAGTAGTTCCTATGTCTGATGTTACCAGACGGAGATCTGATGTGACAGGGATCTACAATATTCCAGCTACACCAACGATGTCCAGTTACTTCAGTGACAGGCACCTGAAGCAGCAGGCCTGGTTGCCTGCAGCACAGTCAAGGCGAGGAAGGGCAGTGCGGGCCCAGCCCAAAGCCCCGCTCCCCTCCTGGTCTCCATTGAGGGCCAGAGACCGGGAAGCAGAGAGCTGGCCTCACTACAGCTTGGACTGCATTTTTGCGAGTGCGGAGTAGACAACGGTTACCACTCTTAAAGCCAAACTAAGTTTTGGCTGGAAACTGAGCTGTTGAGGAAAGCTGTTTCCAAAGGTAGCTCTTCTGCAGCTGTTGTCAAAGACTTTGAATGAGCAGCAATTACAATCTGAGTCAGAGCCCACTGAAATGAATCAGCTCCAAACAAATTAATTCCAGCAGATACCAGATCAAAATTCTGGAGCAGACCAAGTCATTTCAAAATCACACAGAAAGAGCTTGCGCACACAGGCAAGGCGGAGGGAAAACCCTTTAGCTGCAACGGGTAGAAAACAGATGGAAGGAAAGCTAGAAATGTCCACTGCTGGCATAGTTCATCTGTGCTAAGAACGAACACGACCAATCTGTAAATCTAAAATAAAATAAAAATAAATATGTAGAGAAATAAAAAAACTCATCATAATCTTCCTCTGAAAATAGAAAACACTGTCCAAAAGAACCCAAATATCTCAGTCAAACACAAAATGCATCATGATGGAGTAATTTTCAGTTTTGTGAACTAAAAAAAACTGGATACTAAGTATATTTTAACAAAGCATGTAAAGAATGTCTTTACTATTGGACAGCATAGAAGGGCTTTTGACTGCAATCAGCTATGCTAATGTAAATGAGCGCTTACTCTACCAAACTTAGCAATTAAATGTTTGATATCAGAAACAATCTTCTTGTATACTGCCAGCTATAAGTATTGAGTTATGAAATAGTAATGTACCGAGCAAAAGTAATGGGTGATCTTTTCAAAAACATAGGAAAAAAAAAAGTCTCTACAGATCACTCAGCCACAGAAAAGTCCTACCACCAGTAAGACCTTTGCCAGATTATCTAGGGGCAGAACTGGTCTCTTATTTACATCACACAGCCCATCTGATGAAAAGAAACTTCAATAAAAATAAATTCTAGGGTGGTATTTTTTTGCAGACAAATGCAACTGTCACCTCTAATAAGAGAAAACATAAAGGAGTAGAGAAAAGGAAAAGACAGACATTAATTGGCTAGAAAGAAAGACAACATCCATATAGACAAGGAAAAAAGGACAGAAACATTTCACGTTTCATATTTCCCCATTCTCTCTGTTTCACATTGCTCGGTCTCCGTGCCCTGCTGCTGTTTGGCACTGGGACAGGGCAGAGCTGTCGTCACCGCAACCTTCTCCTTCGCAGCCTGACACAGCAGGGCCACCCCCTCCTCAAGGGATGCAGATTCTCACTTGACAGCTTTGCGTGGTTCCTGCGAGCCGAATCCCACCAGAGGCCTCAGAGCTGCCAAGTGGCAGCTTCTGCTGGAGTGCTTAACATCAGAGTTTTACTACCGGTGATTATTTTACCTCATGTCGCAGCAGCGATGATACCTTTGCAATACTGACAGATTCCAACGCAGGGTCTGCAAG